CTCTTACATGAGCAAGGTGATCCACTTCTGGTGGGATTGTAGCATGCAGAACTTGGATTTTTGGGCATTTTTGGGAGTTCACACCTGTCTCCCCTCGGTGCCCTCACCCCACGTTTAGGGTGACACCGACTGCCTGCCGGGGATTTTCCCTGCAGTTTTCCACGCCACTTCCCTCTCCCTTTGTCAGCCCCCCAGCTCCACTCTGCCCTTACCCAGGGCACAGCCAGGGACGTGGATTTGCTCAGAGCTGGGCACTGATGTGTCCTGCCCTGGGCAGGGCCGGGTGGCAGTGGAGCCTCTCCCCCGTTTCTGCGGCCTCATTAATCGAGGCCGATATTCCTTCCTCCCCAGAGCTCCGGATGAAAGGGAGCAGCTCCACTGAAGATGTTTAGGCATTAAGCCTCTACTCCAGTTCCATTAAAGCTCCTGATTAAAGTGCTGGACTCCGGACAATGCTAAGTGCTTTCCTGAATCAGGTTCCCTGACTTCCCAGTGCCGGGGGCTGCTCTCCCATCTCCCCCTTGCTCCCCCTTCCCCGCAGCCCAGCCCCTTTTCAACCACCTTTTAAATTTTCTCTTTCTTGCAGGGTTTTATTCTTCTTATTTAATTTTTTTTTTTTTTTTAATTAAAACCCCAAATCCATGAGTGGCCACTTCTAAAAGTGATAAAAATCTTATTCCCTGCCTTTGGATTTTTTTTCCAGGCAATTGTAGCTTGCAACACCTTAATTATCGCGTCTCTGAAAACTGGTTAAAGATTTTAATACTTCCTTCCCTGGCCCATTATACAGCGACTTCTCAGCCCCATAAAATGTGCCCCTGGAGCCCGATGGCCTCGTGCTGCTGCATTTCCCTGCCCTGTCCTTCCCAGATGGATTAAACACCCTGAGCTCCCCCTTTCCGCTCCCCCGGCCCCCCGGGCAGGTGGGACATGCCAGATTTTCAGGTGGAATATGGGCTTTTTAATTGAAATCCTATGACACAGCCAGCAAATATGTTGCATCATTTTAATCAGGCAGCACATCTGCAGAAGGTGCAAGTTTCCCGGAGCCTGAGCACAGGAATGATGGAATAAATCCCGGGAAAGGCGAATCCTTGACATCACCTTCATTGCTGGATTTGATGCTCTGATTTTGCTGCCTCCCTGGCACCCGTCCTGCCCTGCTGGCTGCTATTCCATGGGTACAGGGCTTGCTGGGCATCTCCACACATCCTGTGCCCTTAAAAAAAATCCCTCTGGGTCTTTTTTTTTTTTTTTTTACAGAGATTTGGGTTAATCATGAATTTTGGCCCCACCTGTGCAGGGCTCCTTGGAAAAGCACTTTTCAAGTGCCAAGCCATTTGGGATCCACGTGCCAGCCCGGTGGGATCTCATCCCTTTCATCCCAGAAAACATCTCCCTGGCCCCACGGTGCCTGTGGGATGAGAGAAGTTTATTCCCCACCGATGTTTTATTTAGGTGAGTTTTAAATAACTCCAGTGCTTTCCTGGGGGAACCATCCCCCGGATTTCTGCACTAAGCACTTTTTCCTGGTGTTCAGCCTAAATTTTCTTTGCTCTGTTTTATCCCACTTCTCTTTCAGCTCGGAAATGTCTCAGGTAATTGAAATGTGAAGTGGCTGTGGAACACATTCAGGGCTGCAGCTCATTATGTGGTGAGGGTGTGACTGGGCACAGAGAGACGGTGCCAGCTGGGGGGGATGGAGAGCTGAGAATTTTGGGAGCGATGCCAAAGGGTGTGCAGTCACTTTTGTCCCATCTTGTCCCTTTAGAATGGAGCAGGTGGGGTGAATTCCCTGGATCATCCCCCAGAATCTCACTATTGTTTTAAATGAGGTTTCAAGGGAGCTGAAGAGGGAGGAGAGGGAAGCCAAGAGACTGGAAAACTCTGGGAATGGGATCTTGGCATGTGTGGGAAGGGCACAGGGATGTGGCACGAGTCAGCTCCTGGGCCCCAAAAGATGAAGATTTGGGAATTCAGTGATGCCTTTTCTTATCCCTCACCGGTTGTAGGAAAGGACTCCGGGGAGCACCAGGTCTGTGGGTGGCTGGAGAATCCTGGATACCTCATGGAATGGGAGCCTGGAGCAGTGTCACCCTCTGGGACACCGGGGATGGAGCTTATGTGGGAGCTGAGTCCCCAAAACTCGTGACACACCACAGGGACATCCAGGCCAGCCCTGGGAGTGCTGGGGAAGGAGCAGGGCAGGAAAAGGGAAGGGAGATGGGAATCCCAGTCATTCTTGGAGAAAGCACAAGGATCACCTGCCACAGCCGGGATTTTGGGCGAGGATGGGGTGTCATTGCCCCCCAGCTGCTCAGAGCCCTCCAGGGCACAGATCCCTTCCTGCTGGTGCCGACTCTGCTCCCACCTGGAGCTCAGCCCTGTTCCCGTTCTCACCGGGGCAGCTGAGGCTGGGAACCCTTTCCCAATTAATTTATTGGGGTTTTTCCCAAAACCATTGGAGGAATTGCCCTGGTTTGGCACCACCGATTCCCTTACCATGGCTGGGTGGGAAGAGCAGGATTTTGTCCTTGAGTGACTTTGCCAGGCGGGTGTTTCCTGCTGTGGGACAGCACTGGGAAGGGTTGGGAAAGGGGATCCCGTTCTCCTGGAGCAATGCCCACCTCTCCAAGGTGTCCCACTGCCCCGGGTCAGGCCTGGCCCCATTCCACGGGGCCTCTCCCACCTTCCGAGTGTTTGGTTTGGTGCTGCTGACACATTCCAGAGCGGGCACAGCACACGATCCGGGTTTTTCCTGTCCCGCTGCCATCCCGGAGTGCCAGGTGTGGCTGTGCCATTGAACCCTCCATAAAGTGGCTCCCGGTGACCTTTGGATCCTCGTCAGGCTCTGCCTGTGCCTGGATCGGCTGCTCCTTCCCCTCGTCCCAGGCATCCTGCGGCACCACCAAACCGGTCCGAGGAGTGGGGGGCTGATCCCAAAGTGCTCCCAAAGTGATCCCGAGGGGATGGTTCGGGCACAGGGAACCCGTGGGGACAGGATCCTCCTTCCAAAGGATTCCAGGGCTCTGGATCCCACCTGAGCCTGTGCCGGGAGAGCGGCATCGCCATGGCAACGGGCCCTGATGTCAGCGCAGGGATGGAGGGGCAGGAGAGCGGGAATGGGCTGGGAGAGGGCAGGGAATGGGCTGGGAGAGGGCAGGGAATGGGCAGGGAGAGGGCAGGGAATAGGCAGGGAGGAGACCCCTGAGACCCAGCTGGGCCTGGCCAGGCACTCAGATATATAAAAATAACATTTTTGAATGTTTTTTTCCTCCTTCCTCAGGTTATTTCCCTTATTTTGGGTCAGAATTCCCTCATTTGGGTCTCTGGAACAGCCCAAATCCCGCTGCCCACCTGCTCCCAGGGACCCCCATGCCCCCAGCTTGGGGTTTTCCCTGAAAAGGCAGAAAAATCACATTTAAGTCTTGAGCTTTTAAAAATTTTTATTAATAAGAAGCAAATTGACCCCGGATTTATTTTTTTTTTTATAATTTCCTCAATAGAAACTGAACCGACCCGAAGGTTTTGTAGTTTTTTGTCGTGGAAAGTGAAGGGATTTGAGATCAAATTTCAATTTTTTGGTAGAAACGGAACTGACTGGGGAGGTTTTGGTTTATTTTTGCACTCGAAAGCGACTTTTTGTTTGTTTTTCAATTTTCTCAGTAAAAACGAAAGTGACGCCAAAGTTTATTGGTTTATTTTTGAAACAGAAAGGAACTGACTTGAGGGGCTTTTTTAATCTCCTTAATAAAAAGTGAACAGACTCGGGTGGGCTTTTTATTTTATTTTTAAACTTTATTAATAGAAATTAAACCAGCTCCAAAGGGGTTTATTACTGGTTTTCTAATAGAAAGTGAATTGACTCCAATAATTTTCTTAATAGGAAGAAAATTAATTCTGGGGTTTGGGTTTTCCCTCCCCGTGGTCCAACTAAAACAACAACAATAAAAAAACATTTAAAAAGTGGCAAAAAGATCCCAAACCTCCAAAAATATTAAAAATTCCTACACAATTAAAAAAAAAATTCCATCAGAAAACTTTTAAATAAGACTTTAAGGAAGCTCAAAAACTCTCAAAAAATACAAATCCTTAAAAAACCAAAGAAAAAGTCTAAAAATGTCTGAAAATAATAATAATAAAAAGAATTAAAATAATCAGAGGATTTTAAAAAAAATTAAAAGCCTGTGGAAAAAAGACCCATCAAAAATACTTTAAACCTCCCCCAACATTCCCAAAACCTCCAAAATCGCAAAAAGATAAAAAAGAAAAAAATTAAAAAAACCCCCATACTTCAAAAAGTTTCAAGGGACTTAAAAAAAAAAAATCCACAACTAAAAATACGGGAAAAAAAGTTAAAAAAAAAATTAAAAATATTTTTAAAAATCCCGGGAAAAGAGTAAGGGAAAAAGAAAAAACCCGAATACTTTAAAGAACTGGGAAAAAAAATCCCGAATCTTAAAAAAACACCTGGAAAACAAACAGAAAAAAAGTATAAAGCTTTTAAGTCCCCCCCGATCCATGGAATGTTTTTTTTTTTTGGGAATATTTTGGGGTCCCGCTCGGGGCGCGGCCGCTGGGGGGCGCTGTAGGACCGCGGCTGAACGGGCGGGCGAGGCCAAGCGGGGCGCAGGGGACGAGCGGCGGGGATGGGGACGGGTCGGCGGGGCGCCGGTACCGGCGCCCCGCCGACCCGTCCCCATCCCCGCCGCTCGTCTCCCCCCACCCCATTAACTCGACAGCAACCGGTGGGACCGGGGGGAAACCATAAACCCCCCCAAAAAAATCTCCGCTCTCCCCTTAAGACCCCACAATGGGCGTGCCCTCCCGCAAGGCCCCCGCCGCTGCTCTCTCCCATTGGCCGGCGCGGCGGGCTGGCCTCGCCGCTTGCCTGCGCGGAGGGGTAGAGCGGCTGCCGCGGCGGGCGGCGCCTCAGTCGGCGCGGGGCGGGCGGAGGCGGCGGGTCGGGAGCGGAGCCGGGAGGAGGCGGCGGTGGTGGTAGTGGAGGAGGAGGAGGAGGCGGAGGAGCAGCGCGATGGGCGCCTGACGCCCGGCCCGTCCCGCCGCCGAGGGACGATGGCGCGGCCCCGCGGCGGGCGGTGGCTGCTGGGTGTCCTGCTGGCCCTGTGCCGCCTCGCCGCGCCGCTCGCCAAGAGCCTGGAGCCGGTGTCGTGGAGCTCCGCGAACCCCAAGTACGTGCGGCGACAACGGGGGGGTGGAGGAGGGGGGGGGGAGCAAAGCGGGAGAGAAGTGGAGGGGGAAAACGCGTCTCGCACCCCCCCACCGTGGGTAAAACCATACCGAGCCCGCGGTATCCGTACGAATTTAACGGGAAAAAAGATTTAGAGGGAAACGAATCGCGCCCGGAGGCTGCGGGCGGCGGACGGAGCGACCCCCGGCTGAGGACGGACCCGCGGCGGCGCCGCGCTGCTTTTTGTACCCAAAAAACCCCACAACCTCCTCTCCTTTTTCCCCCACCCCGTTTTTAATGATGTTTTGCTTTCCGCAGCTTTTCCTCTCTATGAATCCGTTTTTATTTTTTAAGCACGCCTTTTGTTCCTTTTTTTTTTTTAATTTTTCACGCTTAAATTGTGATGTGTTTTTTTTTTTCTCTCCCCGGATCGCCACTCGCCTCCACCACTTGGATTTATTACCTTTTCATTTTTTTCCTGGGTTTTCTCATCCGAAATCGGCCGTGGAGGAAGGCGGGGGACCCCCCCCACCCCCCCGGGCTGGTTCCGAACAAAGCGGGCTGTGGGGCTGCTCCGTCTGTGCAGACACCCAAATTATATATATGTTTTTATATAGTTATTTATGTACCTGTGGATGTGGACGCGGCTGCCGTGCAGGAACAATGCGAAGGGCTGGGATGAAGGGCGAGGACGAGGAGGAGTGGAGGGTGTTTGGTCGCTCCTGCCCCGTGGCTGGTGGTCGGGATGGTTTGGTGGCCCTTGCTGAGCTTTATCTTGTAGATCACGGAATGTTTATTTATCTTACCCCGTTCTCGCTTAAAAAAAAAAAAAATCCTGCTTTTAGCCTGATTTTTTTTTTTCCCCTCCCCTACCACATTTTTCAAAGCAAAAAAAAATTCCCCTAAAATAATCCAAAGAGTTTTTGAGGGTTGGAAAGAAGCGAAACAATTTGGACAACCTTCCTGCTCGGACACATATTCCAGCCAACCATTTATTTCGTTTATTTCGTTGGGAAAAAGGAACTTTGCCGGCACAGGCGCGTGCCCAGCTCTGGAAGCGCCGGGACGGCGGCTCCGGCACTCCGTTCTCCTCCTCGGCGTGTTTTCCTTTCCTTCCTTTCGGAGTTGTGTCAGTTGGCTGGGAGCGCAGAGAGCCTTCTCCCTTGGGAATTGTCCTGCTGTGTTCCTGAGCCCGTGGTGTTGGCGAGGGGCAGGCAAATAAGTTCCAGAAAATACAGTTTTTATTTGGGAAAAGGAGCTGGAGGAGGTAGAGGCGGCTCGGGCTTAGTGGTGGGGGACGCCATGTCTCCCTGGTCCCCTTCGTTATCCCGAGCTTTCCTTAGGCTGCCGAGGCCTGGAAGTTGGAGGAGGTGGTGGCAATCAGCCGGCACGGGGCAGCGCACCGGGAGGTTCCCCCTGCTCTGCCAGGGGCTGCCCGCACTGCCCCTGGTGCGCAGAGCTCGGAGATGTCCCTCCAGTGGGGTGTCCGGGGAGAGCTCGAGGGGCTCCTGGGTTTCCTCACTGGCAGCCTGGTGGTTGCCCGCTCCCAGTTTTCCCAAATTCACAACTCGGAGATCGTCCAACCTCAGTTCTCCCCCAATGTGGAGCTCGGAGATGGCCCGCGAATGTTTCTCCCCCAGTTTGGAGCTCAGTGGTCGTCTGCCCTCGGTTCTCCCCCAGGTTGGAGCTCTGTGGTTGTCTACCTGTGGTTCTCCCTCAGTTTGCATTCAGTGGTTGCCCACTCTCAGTTCTCCCTGAATTCGGAGCTTGGTGGTCATCCACCCTTGATTCTCCCCCCCTTTAGAGCTCAGAGATTGTCTGCTCCTGGTTCTTCCCAGTCTGGAGCTCAGTGGTTGCCCGCTCTTGGTTCTCCTGGAATTTGGGTCTCAGTGTTTGTCTGCCCTTGTTTCTCCCCCAGTTTGGAGCGCAGTGGTTGCCTACTCTCGGTTCTCCCTGAATTCAGGGCTCGGAGGTTGTGCCCCTTTGGTTCTCTCTGGAGCTTGCTGGTTGGCCACTCTCAATTGTCCCTGAATTTGGATCTGAGTCCACCCTTGGTTCTCCCCCAGTCCGGGGCTCGGAGGTTGTCTGCCCTCGGCACAGCGTTCTGGGCACGTGCCATCCCGCGTGGGGCGGCTCCCGTGGGTGCCTGCCGTGGGGCAGCAGTCCCGGTGCTTCCCCATCCCCGTATCCCCACCGGGTCGGGAGAGGGTGGGAAGTGCCCGAAATGTTGGTGTTGCCAACCAGGAACGTGCTGGGACATGTGTGGGCAAAGCCATGGAAGGGTTTTGCCTTGGTGGGGGCTGTCAGGGCCAGGCTGTGATCCCATGATCCCGGAGTGTCCCTGGACCCTGATCTCCAGGATCCACCTTTGGGATCGGTCACTTCCTTTTACACCTTGGTGCTCTCACCCCCGGTCTGTGCTGGCTGTGTGGAGTCTGGCAGAGCCTTTCAACAACCGCTCCTGGCAAAGCCAGCTGTGGAAACCAGTCTGGGATCGGCGTGCTGGGCAAAGTCCGTCTCCGGCTGGAGGAAAAGCCATGCTCTCGGTTGGACTGGGACTGCTCTTCCGGATAGGTCCACTGAAACCTCTCGCCACTGTACTTTGGGCTTCCAGACCCCTTCCTCGGGCGATGCCGGGGCTGTGCCAGCCCCCCATCCCGCTCTGCCGAGCTTTAACTCTTGTTTTTAGAGTAAAGAGAGCTAAAGCCTTTAAAAATAACACGGCTAAGTGGAATTTTCCAACGGATCCGAGGAGCGAGCGTGGCCCGCTGGGCCCGGCCGGCCTTGGAGCGATCGCTGTAAATAAGGAAAATATTTTCCTGCCCTTTCTGGGCAGCTGGGGGCTGTGGGCTCTGAGCTCCGGCGGGTCTGGGGCTCCTGGTGTTATCGGAGGGACTCTGATAACACATCCGATAGACGGAACCATTTCCTAATCGAGTTAAGGCAGGCTTAACTGCAGCGCTGCGTTGGGAAGCGTTTCCCTTCAGCTCCTGGGTGTGTGTCCCAAAGCCAGCGGTGAAATCATCACAGTCTTCCCATTGGGAATCATTTGGGGTCTTTAAAGGGGAAAAAATAGACCTAGGAATGGTTTTGTTGGAAAAAAGGTGATAATTGTCTCAAACCTGTGATTGGGATGAGCTCACCTCTCTGAGGGAGCTTCCCCTGGGGTGCCTGTGGAGCCCCTTGGAAGGGGTCTTGGGGAGCCAGTAAGGCTTTAATTTATTCCATTGGGTCTGACAGGGGCTCTGAGGGGGGCAGAAAGTGCTTTTGGGATTTACTTGGCCCCTTTGCTACCCAACCAGGGGGCGGTGGGAGCGTGCTCTCCTTGAACAGCCAGGAATTGCCCGAGAAATTCTGGCTAAATCCTTTCTCAACTCCCTTGGCTGTAATTTTGGAGAAATATTGACCCTGGTGGGCTCCTGTACCGACCGTTAAAAGGAAGCATTCCTAATAAAATATGGTTTGGAAAATTCATTTCAGGCTGGAATTCGCCTCTCCAGAAAGTATTTTAATAAGGAGGTGGGGGAAATGGGACACATCATCCGCGGCTCCGGAGAACGGCTCCTTTTGCCTCTGCTTTTCCCTCTTCCCCTTAGAGAAAGTTTCACTCGGCTCCGTTCGCTCCACAGAGCAATCCAGCAACTTGCTCAAAACAAAATAAATATATCTTTTTAAGAAGAAAAAGGTGAAGGGAATAGGGAAAAAAAAACCAACCCTCAGACAAAAGTCTAATCCTTCATGGTATTTTTATTCTGCCTTTAATGACATGCTGGTGTCCTGTGGAATTCCATAAGCGCCGGGTTTGAAGCCTGGCGTATCTTTGCCTTTTTTAATGCCGTTTTACGAGGGACAAAGTGCTTGTGGGAAGGCTGTTTCCGAGGGGGATGGCTGGCCTGGAGCTCCGGAGCGGGGGGCTCGCACTTGTTGGAGCAGATGTAATGGAATTACCGGAGCGATGGGCGTGCGGGCGCTCTGGGGTGTCGGGAGTTGGGAAATAGGGAGAACATGCTGATTATTTTTAATTAAAAGTCGTTTCTGGCTCATGGAGCCTTCGGAGACTCCCCCTTCCCGGGGCCGAGAGGTGGGGGCTCCCCAGGGGAATGACTTTAAACTAAAAACATGGGAAGTTTAGATTGGATAACGGGAAGGAGTTCTTCCCTGTGAGGGTGGGGAGCCCCTGGCCCAGGGTGCCCAGAGAAGCTGTGGCTGCCCCATCCCTGGAAGTGTCCAGGACCAGGTTGGACAGGGCTTGCAGCAACCTGGGCTAGGGTAAGGTGTCCCTGCCCACGGGTAGGGGTGGAAACTAATGATCCTTAATGTCCCTTCCAACCCAAACCATTCCAGGATTTTTGGTTCTGTGGTCCCATCAGGAAACCAATGGCCCCCCAGGGCTTTGCTTCATCTCCAAAGGCTTGGGCAAAGCATCCTGGTTGGAGTTTCCCTCTGGAATGCTGGAACCCTTCCCAAGGGGGTTGGGGGGACCCTGGTGCCCAGCCAGGTTTCACCCGTGAGGTTCCCCCTGTCCCGGTGCCCGGGGGAAGGAGCACCCAGGGCTCCGTGCGGGTCGTTTGGGAATGACTTCATTAACTTAAATTAAGAAAAAGGGAAGGCAAGGCTGCGGCTCTTGCAGTAGCCGGGTAAATACCACTGGATTCCATAAAATGGATTTAACTGCTTCCTTTAAAAGAAAAAAAGAGCCGTGATGGGGTGGCTGATTGATTGTAAAAGGAGCCGGAGCTTTCTCGGAGCAAAACAGCTGCTGCAGCTCCTCGGAGCCGCCTGGCAGCGGGGCTGGATGGGCCTTCCGTGCCACTTCGGACCAGGAAGGGCTGGCAGGGGCTGGAGGGGGTTGCTTCCCTCTGCCGCTGCTGCACATGAACCCCTGCACCACTCTGAGGGTCTGAGGTGCTCCTGGGATCCTTTTCCCGGACGGACTGTGTCTGGCAGAGTGGGATGGGATGTTCCTGTGCCCTCGCTGGGCTGGGGGTCCCTCTGAGCAGC